TCATATGACGTATCTATAAGTATTTAAAGATCTAATCCATGTTTAAGAAAAAAAAATTGAAGTTTCTTAAAATAAAAATATTATCTATCTAATATATTCTAATTATTTTTATTTGTAGCTATATATTTAAGTAATATAGGAATCTATTATTTTTATTTTTATTAAAATATTAACTTATAAATTAAATTTTTTAATTAAAAATTAATAAAAAATATTTTATTTTATTTTTAGGTTTCAAATTAATCACACATTGTTGTATTATAATATAATTAGAAAATAAAAAGATAGATGAAGACCAATGTGTGTGTATATATATATATATATATATATATATATATATATATATAGAATTTATTAAAATATTAGTAAAAGTATTTTTAAAAATTCTAACTAATAGATTAAATAGAATAAAAATTTGTAATTTTTCTTTTTGGTTTTTTCATAAAAAGAGCTTCTACTTACTTTGTAGGATTATGAATGGAGCAAGAAATAGTAGAATAGATACAAAAATAATATTATAATATTTAGATTTATATTAGGAGTGATTTTTACTAAAATTGTTATAGAAAAATTTAGGTTGATATCCAAAGAAAAATATTTGTGAATTAGGGTTGAAATCAAATTTCAAGATACAACATAGGCCTTTACAAAAATAAATAAATAAATATTTTATAGATCAAAATTTTTTATTCGAAAAGAAATTAGAAGAAGATGTTAGTGTTGTTAAACATATATAGATTAGATTTGAAATGGCCTTGTGAAAGCAAATAAAAATAATAGTTTTTATTTTGATAATACTATTTTGAGTAATATAAGTTTTATAATTTTAATTATAACTTAAACTTTGTGTTAGATCTATAGTAATTTTTTATATATTAATAGATGAATTTATATTAAGTGTGTATCTTAATTTTTTATTTAGTTTAATGGGCAGATTAAAGTCAATTAAAACTCAAAAAGATAGGATATTTTAAAGATTAAAATCATAGATTACAACATAAAAGAAGAAAAATCTATTTTTTAATATACAATTTGATACTATTTTAAAGATACTTTTTATGACTAATATCATTATTTTTCACAATAATGTTTGAGTGTCTTTTCTATTTTGCCAAAATCAAGGCGCCAAAATGTCCGAACTGTTCAGCCTGAGAGAGTTTCTCAACATGTAGGGAGGTGTGGAGGATATGGTGGTCATCAATCAGCCCAATGGTTCCCATCACAGCTCTCCGTAGTGTGCAAAATTTTAACCTGTACTTACAAGTGGAAGTTGAGTTAGTTTCTGATACAATTAACGGCCATTGCACTTCGATGCAACTGTCTGTAAAGGATTTCTAATTAGGCGATAATGGTCAGCTTAGTTTTCTGCATCAACTCTGCACAGCTAAGATCACTGAATCCTCTCCGAGGCTCGATGAAACTCTGTGTTACAGCTTCCAGCCTACACCTACTTGTGAGGTTGAAAGACATTGACTGATGTTATTGCTGACATGGATAGCACAATTTCACGGTTAGTCAAAATCCATGACAAGATCGACCTTGAGAAGTACTTCATAGGTTGAAGTGAGCATCTTCTTCACTGTGGGTCCGTCCGGAAAGCTTTCTACGTTGCATTGGTGATGTGAAAGAAAGGAGGCTAGCAAATATTATTGATGAACACCTGGAGGTCTGCGGTGCAGCTTTGTGTCACTAAGTTTGGTGGTATGTTTCACAGCATGGCATTTCTACTGAGCACTACCAAAGCTGAAAAGTGTACAAACATCTCTCACTTACTGAAGGTATACTGCTCACAAATCTATTGTTGCACTCCATTTGACCCACCAACGTTCCCACTTAACAAACTATTGATGACCCTGATAGTATTTTCCTATTGCTACTGGTGGTGTTTATTAGAAAAACTACTGTTGGGTGTTGTATTTAAGTGCATGGTCAATTTATCAAACAGATTCCACCTGGAATCTTGGGTCAACTACGAGGCAAGTTAGAGCTTGAGCAAATTATGAGTGCTTCAACTCAAGAGTTGTTGGTAGATGACATGAGTGCCAAACCCTGGATACGTGTTCAGAGAGGGCAGAATATACTCACTCCCTTGAGAACCATACATTGATGCCATTTTCATGTCAACCTTAAAAATGGACACAGAATGTTGTTTGGATGTGCTTCACAGCCGCGGTGAATTGTTTTGAAAACTCTCCTCAAGTGATGAGGTGTTATTGGTCAAATATTAATATTAGAAAAATAAATGTTCTAACAAGATTTACAGAACATGATTGCTAGCCACTTTTTATTTGCAAAGGTAAATTTTATAACCTACGACCTTATCATGTTAGGTTGGATTGATTTTAATCTAAAAAATTCATAAGATATGTATTAGACATGCAAATTATTAGGCTTTTTAAATAGAATCCGGGCATGTATTGTAGATTATGGTCAATCCTGTTAATTGGAAGTTGTATACAAAAATCTTAACTACTCAAAAACTATCTTATTTTTACGTTTATTGTGTAATACATGATAAATAATTATTATAATTCGTTGATTATTTAAGATTAATTAAGAATACATATTATCCTAATCTTTAAAATATAATAAAATTTATAATAGTGTTCTCAACTTTAATTTTAAATTCAAACACTAAGTACATGTCTTCTTTTAAAACATATTTTATTAAACATTATTATTTTCTTAATTATTCTTAAATATCCTATATGAATTTAAAATAACATGAATATTTAAATAATACATTATATATGAAAAAAACTGATGTAAAACTATTCTTTTTAAAAATATATACTCATATAGTTATCTTTATGATTTATATCTGTCTTTTTATTTTATTACATAATATCAAAGAGTTACTTTTATAAAAATATTTTTAAATAAAATGAGAAATAAAACTTATTTATTTATTTATTTATTTATTTATTTATTTATTTATTTATTTATTTATTATAGTTAATTATCTCTTAAATTGGCTGAGAAAAATATTAAAAATTTAATCATTTCAAATTGATGAATAAAAATTCATATTACAATACAAAATAAAAGTATAATTTGCACTCTGCAATATTTTTTAAATAGTTAATAACAATGTGAGTGGATGTTGATTCTAATCTACAATTCTTTTTGTTATCAATGCTTAGAAATAGAGACAAATATTTCAATAGTTGACTTAATCTAACCATCACATTAGAAAAAGTACAAGATTGATTTTGCATGCTGTAACAAAAATTGACTTACAAAATTTTACATAGGCATATTAAAATATGAATAATTTGATTGTTGATTATGTAAAATTAATATCTAAAATTAAGTTATGATGTTGATTATGTAGAATATATTAATACAAAAATTGTATATAAAATTTTAAAAATAGATTAAATCTCTTTACATTGTATCAATTTTGATTAATTTGATAGCATAATTTGTAAATATAAAAATCTTTGCAACAGACTTGTTTAGTACAAAAAATAATATAATAGAAAATAATATTTCTAAAAACAACAAAAAAAATGATTAGTAAAGTGATTAATATCTATATAATAAGAAAGTTTACATATAAGACAAAGAGATAAAAAATCCTTCTTATTGGCCAATTGGTTGAGACAAAAGAGTCTTCTTATTGGCCAAAGACATATGTTGTCCTTTCACAATGTAAAAAATTGTGTTGCTCTTTTACAATTTACTTCTCCAAATACAAGATATTAATGTTTCTTTAGGAGTTGTTGATTTTAAACTTTACAAATTAAAATGTTATAGCTTTTTTTATGCCTAGTAGTACAGGTTTTTGTTAGAATATGTATAATTAATTTCAATAACTAAATATGTATTTGTATATTTTAAATTTTTGGTAATATTATATAGTTACAATGTGCTTTAAAGATTCTACAATATGATTTACAATAAAAAAAAATTTCAAAATACAATGCATCTATAACATTAAATCTAAGATATTTTGCAAAGTAATATATTTTAAGATTAGTATACAATTATTTAGAATACAATAAAAGTCTAAGCTTTAATGATGTACTATTTTAGTACTACATTTATATCAAATTTGCATTAGATATTGTCTTTAAACAAAACCAAAATAAATTGATTAATTATCTATTTATAATTATTTATATTTTTAATGAATAAAACTATACTATTCACATTCAAAATAAATTATTATATTTTATAGCATTATAATATTTTTAATTAGTATACTTTCCAATTCTTTAGAACAAAAATTACTAATGAATTATAATTTAAAATATAGCTTTGAAAAAGAGAATAAGATTCAAAAAAATGTTGTATTTCTTTTTTAACACATAAAAGCCATACAACCAACACTTCAAATAGATCAATTTGTAAAGAAGTAGAATTAATATTTTCGTATTGGATGAATTGTAACCAAAGATTTATCTTTATTTCTTGCATAATTACATGTAGATTAAGTAGATAACCTAAATTTATTAGTAATAAATAAGTAATATCAAAATAGAGGTTTTGCACCAGAAGGATTCTAACCACATGTGGGTGATAACCAGATGTAGTTTTGGCTATATTCATTAATTTAATTGAAAAAACATAGATTACTGTGGGTTTGCATTGTATGTATATATAGTATTTTTCTATTTTCCATCAGGTAAATGAAATATATATTTTGAAGTAATAAAAAATAGATGGTAAATATTTAATTTTTAAAAAAGTAAGACATTTTTAACTTCCATCAAAACATACACATCTTTAATCAACTTCAAAAAGAGCCAACATACTTGATTTTTGCAGCACACAATTGTAGATAATATGGGCTCCATTTACTTGTTCATCTTTTGAAATTTATTTTCAAATTGATTATACATCCCGAAAAAACACTAACCCAGACATGTGAAGATATCAAGATAATGAAAAACATTTGTGATTTGTTTACTTATTGTCCAAATTTAATAGCTTCTTCTTAAACATAAAACTTCAAGTAAATAAAGGAGCTAAAATTATGGAACACATTAGACAAGTTTGAATTGTTACAAAACTTATTTGTAAGATTAAAGTATTCTCATGCTATCACTATTTTTACTACACAATATACACATTTTAGTTATTCTATTGAAAAGACCTGAAGATTTCATGAACCATAAACTACTTTTAAAATTTAAAGAATCTATAGATGCTATTAGGGTATATAAAAGATGTTTGAAAGAATATAAAAAATATTCAAACTTCTAAAAGTTTAAAGAAGGCTATCTGTCACATCCAAAATCCTCTAGATAGATAGAGAGATGGATAGATAGATATATTAGCATCTTGTAATAAAATAATCCAACAACAAACAAAAATGATAGTCGGAGATTGTTCGTAAATGCCCATATTTAACAGTTCAGTTATTACCTGCAAGATATCAAAGAATGGATGATGAAGCATTTTGGATGGCATTTGGGAGAACAGATGTCAATTAATACATTCTTTGTAAATATGCACCGATGTGAACCACATTACCAAAATGATCACACCAAAATAGTGACACACATAAGATCCATCAATTGTTACAACACAATAATTGAGTTTTACAACCCAAATTGTATCTATCACCTCAGCGTTGAGTTGACCGAAGGTAGACAACAATCGTGGCTCCAGGCTTGCACTAGTACATTTGTGCATATAATTTCCCTGTACAGATGTTTCACACCAAAAGTGTTAGAACGGTGGCAAAAGCAGAGCGGTATTTAACATGCGAATCAGAACCTTGTATGAGATTTTGTATCCAACAAGCATCAAGACAAACGAACAACATCAGCTCTGAGAAACAATAACACGATGCCAACTTCATTTCAGACACCCTGGTAATGAGAAACCTCAAAACCTCTGTTAATATCAGACACAGGGTGCTTCTAGTACACAACCCATAAGTAACAATCCAGCCTACTTTAAGCATCAGCACCATCATAGATAAGCAAAAGCATAAACAAAGAGTTTAGAGGAGTGGAATTCTCACAGGTTTTGTTTCTTGGAGCCATCGTGAACAAGAGGATTGCCTGGCCATAACTTCGTCATGTGACCAAATCGTAGGAAGAAAGAGCTACTTGGTGAAGGATGATGATCAATCAGTCACTAACAAACACCAGAACAATGTTGTTCGAATAGGTCTATTGGATTGTAGGTGGTCAGTACCCGGATCTCGAATGACCTATTACATTTAGTACACAATTTTGTACAGTTTGACTATCAATAAGCATACTACCTAGAACCACCCTTGGGACGGCTAGCCTTACAGTGAGATACTCTTCAGAAACTTCAATGGAGCTGGGACTGAGGTGTTATGGAGTTGTAAAAGAAATTAATTTCCTTCTTGGAGACGAGCGAGAGTGATTTTCCCCGCATTGTTCACGTCAAGCTGCTCAAATTGGTGAGATATGTCAGCGATTTCATGGGCTCCGATTTGCCCCATCTCCTTAAGCTTGTACAAGACAAACTCTGCTTTGCTGGAAAAGCGCACATGACAAAGAGATCAGATAAGTAGGCTCTTTCATCCAAGATCCAGAACACTGCAAAAAAAAAAAAAAAAAAAAAAAAAAAAAGAAGAAACAAGAAACAAGAAGAGGCTACTACAGAATGAACCTAAAATGTCATGTTGACTTATCCTGGCGCAGAACACAAGCTTGCTGGTTCCGATCCCGTTTATGTGCTTTTCAGAAAATGTGCTATTCGTAAAAATCTCTATTCAAAAAAGCGCTATAAATAAAAATAAAAATAAAAATAAAGTACACGAAGCTTGTGTTTTATGGACCGATCTAAACCACACTCCTGTATAAATAGGTTTCTTAGCATGGTCATTAGTTGACAAAAATGTAACAGTTCCTAGTCTAATCCAAAACATCCTCGTCAAGGAACGTATCACCTATATCGCGAACTCAGTGTTAAAGAAAAAATTGAATGAAAGTACTGGAAATAATCAGCAGGAAAGATAGTTCATGGGAAAGTTTGTGAACCTAATGCAACCGTCATGATCGAGATCCGCTTGCACCAAATCCCCCACAGTAAGCTCCCTCTGCAGCACCCACTTCGCAATCAATCGATGGCGCTTATCAACTCTCGCCTCTGCAAGGTACAGGAAACACCGCGCCACCGCCAAGGTACTAAACAGCAGCCACAACCCCGCGAATAGGCGCCCATAAAACGTCTTGAATGTGTGATCACCGTAACCCACCGTCGTGATCGACATGATCGTACAGTAGAATGCATCCACTAGCGCCAAGCCCTCGAACTTCACCATCATCACGGTGCCAATGATGATGCACAAAACTGGAACACCCAGAGCCAGCCCCACTTTCATGCGAATACGCATCCGATTGCCGTGCTTAGCATTCAGAAAATACTTCTTCGCGGTGCGGTAATGGCTCCCCTCAACGGCGCTCAGAAGCAAGTGTTCTTGTTTGTCAAGGACATAAGTCACCATACCGCTAACCAACGCATCGATGAAGCCGAAACCAATCAAGACAAAGAGACAGCAGAAGAGCTTTGCGAAGGCAGTCACTGGAACAATGTCCCCATAGCCAATTGTACACATGGTGACAACGCAGAAGTAGAGCGCGTCCACAACGGATGATGTCTCAATTCCTGAGAATTCGCCATTTTTCCAGGCGTAAATGGCTACCCCGACTGCAAGGTATATCATCAACCCTATTCCGGCATGAGTAACTATTGCAGACCCTTTCTCGAATTGAGGACGTTTCAGCATGGGCCCCCCTTTCTTCTCCCGGTGCATGTTCGACAAGGCCGGGGCCGTCTGACATCGATGATATGTTTTCTTCGCCGTCTTGGATAACTTGCCTTCATCGTCGAGACCGGATGGTAGGCTTCGCGCAGTCGGAATAGCGGCGTAACGCCCGTCTAGACCATTGGAGCAGCTTCGGGATTCGTTGCTTTCAATGTCCACATGGTTAACCCATGTCCCATAGCCCTTGTGTTCCGCATTGTGAAGCAGTGCTGATTGCTCGTCGCTATCTTCGTCGCGGAGAAGCGCTTCTCGAAGTTCATCGCTGTCGTCATCGTCGTCGCCGTCCGGAAACAAAAATCCTAAGCTGAAGGAGCTCTTCAAACTCCGACCTATGTCCGGGATATCTAAGGTGCTTGTCCAGGAAGCTGGTTTCTGGACAGATCCAAGCTTGCAAGACGCGATGCGACGCGATTGGGCAGCAGAGGTCGCGGTAGTTTGATTCGCACGAGGCATGGAACTGGAGCGGGTGAAGACTCCATTCTCCGGGATAGGCTGAAAGATGTTACCCTCCGTGTACGCCACTCGCAATTTCCGAGGTGCAGGTGAATTCAACGAATCGTCCATTGATCCAGTTCCTATCCTTGTTCCCTACGCGATTGCAACGGAGATTCAAGCCTCGCCGTTCCAAAACAAAAAAAACCAAAACATAAACCCCAAACCTAACCAAACGATAAAATATCACATTCTAACGTCCACAAACACACGAAAATTCACAACCACCTTCACTTCCTTCCAGAACCAAACGCTTCAACGGCCGGGAATTGACGGCACCAAGTCTTAAACTGCAACTTCATGACTCCACAGACGCAACGCACGACCCTTCCAAAGCTGTTCTTCGCTACAACCTTACGACGCAGCACAGCGTCCTCTACGGAATCCTCTTCCAAATACACAACGAATCTCAACTATGACAGAAAACCCCACCCACCCTCGTCTCCAAACGACCCAACGCCACCGCGTCCTCCGCATGCACGTACTTTCAGCACACTGTGGACTCAATTGCAGGCAGGTGGTTCGGCCCAGCAGGGAGGGATTCCAGGCAAGCTCTCATGCGAGTAACCAGCGACACCACAGGGCATCTCCGCGATCACATCGCATAACCGGATCATGAACGCTCCAGCGCGTGAAAACAGGGTGCGTGTGAGAATGAGATCTAATACAAACACGCGGAGGTGGTGGGGGAAGACAAAGGCGCACGAGAATCTATTGACGGGAGGCGGGGGGGGCAGATAATTCTACAGTTTTGGGTGGGGGAGCGGATGGGGGATGGTGAGACTCATGCATTCGTGGCGGATCTGTTGGGATTCGAGAGCGCGGCGCGTGCCACCAAGCGAGCGAGGGTGTGAGTGAGGGTGTCAGTTTGTGAGTAAGTGAAGTGAGTTTTGTGTGGGAAAGTGTGAAGAATTGTGGTTCCGTCGGAGCGGAGCAGCGGCATTCACGGTGATGGCGTTGTATGAATCATCATACCCTTTGTCTTTAATGCTTGCTCTTCGCCTTCCGCTTCCGCTTCCGCTTCCTCGTCTTGTCCTCTTCCTCTTCTCCATCTTGTGGATCCGCCTCCATCAATCCCCCAATGGCTGCGCCGAAACTCTTCCGCCTCGAAACTCAAGTCACTGGATGAATGATACTTGGGTGGTGGAGGATGAACAGCTGTGTGATGGATGGATGTTTTCGGTATGTTGTGTGTTGTGTGTTATGATGGACGGTATGTTATGGTGTGTTGTGGATGAAAGTCGTCCGTGTGTCTGTTTCTGGATGTTCCACTCTCTCATTTCTCAATAAAATTTATATCAATTAATAAAATAAATATGTTAAAACATGTATGTAGTTTTTTGTCATTTTGGTAAAGTAAATTGAATGATGCAACATGGAGCAATTTTATAACGTGAGAAATAAAATCAAATGAAATAAAATAAATCATGACATTGTTCTTTTTGCAAAAATAACCACTTTAAATGAAATGTATTGCATTTCAATGTGATGTGTGTTTTTATTTCTTTTTGTCTTTCACATTTGAAATGTATCAATATATAAAAGTATGTGTGTGTGCATGTATTACGAAATATAGACATAAAATCTAAACTTAGTTTTATAAACTCATTAAGTTTGATGTGGAAGAATCATTTTTATTTAGTTTATAAATATAAATTTTATAATATTACTTACTGCATATTTTATAGAAGCACTTTTCAAAGATTTTTTGATTATAGATAATAACTTCTATGATTATTATGTAATTCATACACAAATAAAATATCTAAAAGCTCAAAGATGTCAATATTTTAAAGAAGAATATAGATATTTGGATTATATCTATATTAAAAATTAATTAATGAATCATTATATAGAATTTGTTTTGAGTTTGTTCATACAATTCTCTTGTGCCGCATAAAAGTAAATATATTCAATTAAATTCAAATTCCCATATTCAAATTTTATCTTTAGAAACCTGCTGTATTTTATTTTATTACTTAAACATGAGGCAGTATTTTGATTAATTATTGTTTTGGTGATTGGAAATTTTGGTAAAATTTCTACAAAACTTCATAAATTCTAAATTTACTTGAAACACATTAGACTGGAAGCTCTATTCAGATTGTGAAAAAGCAAACTGAATTTCCTCTCTCTCTCTCTGTTTTTTTTTTTTTTCTTTTTTTTTTTTTTAATAAAACCTACTATGTATTACTTGAAATATTTAACTAACTTTTTAAATCTTAATATAATTTAACTAATTGATGTTTTAGTTTCCACCATTCAAACACACAAAAATTACAATTGATGTAACAGTACACAATATTAAAAGTTTTGTGTTATATACATTGGTCTAAAACCTCAGAAAATATATATATATATATATATATATATATATATATATAATTTTATAAATATATTCTTAAGGTATGCATCCAACATACATAATTTACAATGTATCAGTTATTCAGGTGCAACAAACACATACTTGATATCTTTTGAAAAGTTGGTTGTAAAGTGAGAAATCTATTTATAATATCAATTCTAGATTAAAACTCAAACTCAAAATTAAAACCTTCACTAGACATTACAAATGATTCTCTTATGGAAAGATACATTTAAAAGCTAAGTTAATGTAAGTTAACAATGAAGAAAAAATTTGTTCATAAACATAACATAAATATACGAAGAAACAAAGCAGCAACTCTGCCACCTCGTCCTTTGTAAACAACAAGCGGATCCATTTAATTGAATAAGTCCTCCATTTTGTGAAAAACAAATCAAGCTCTTGTCTGTCTAAACACAAGCTTTCACTCCCACTGACAACTTATCAGTCCACCAAGGCTACCCCCACCACATGACTTTGATGGCCACTACTACACCATTCCAGTTATTTATTTATTTTGGTATTTTTATTATTTTTGGTAGTATCATAGGTACAGTTGACAATTTACAATTTAGATTTGATTTCTCTTCTTTGGGGATATTATTCAATATTGGGTACAACCTACCATTCTTTTGTAGTTTGAATTTATTGGAGACTCAATTTTTATAGTTTTAGACCTCATCAATGACTAAATTCAAATTCATTCTAATTTGACAAACAAAAGTCAAGATTGGAAAAGTAGAACATTGAAGGTGGATTCTAGTTAGAGTTTTTTTTGTGCACTAAGTCATATACCAACAAAGAGAATGAAGTTCTATTATGGCATCAACACTATTATTTCTTATCATAATTTGGTAAACATGCATTAATGTAAGAATTTTATTATATGGTATAGAAGATTAACTTTTGTGAAGTATTCTTTGATTCAAGGGGAACTTCATATCTAAAAAATCATTTTGAAAGGCCATTAAATGGACCAAATTACTAATTTATTAGAAATTTATATATGTTTAAAAATCACCTCTTTAAGATGGGTTCAATGGAAATTCTAAATGAACAATATTATTTATGTCATGTAAGAAAAAAGTCCATGCTACCTCATTTTTTTCTCTTAGTACTTTAACTTATTTTCTAAGTTTAAAACCAACTTAAGAAAACTTCTCAATTTCAACTAATCAAAGCATTTAACAGTTAAGGCCTCTTACCCCTAAAATAGTATTGCAACTGTAAATACTTTGTAAAATGACAATTAAAAAACAAAATAAAAAATGTTATAAATACATTAAAATTTATTGATATTTTGAAATATTTTTATTTTATAAAATACTTAAATTAATTTATAAAAACTTATGTGTCATTATGCCACTTGCATATTGTAGTATCATTTTCATGTTAATAGAAGTTAAACTCTTTGGTTAGATTTCAAAATGAAGGTTCATGACAATAATAAAATAAAAAAACAAAGATACCATTGTTTGCCTTTATTGAATAAAATGGAGTCAACTAATATTTTTGGTAAAAAAAAAATCATATATATTTTCACATACACAATACATTCATATACATAATTTTTGCTTTTGACATGTGAGTCTCTTACCATTGACTACTTAAATAACATATTATTGTCAAAGACATGGATTTTACTTTTTCTTAGAGAAGTTAGATCTGAAGTAGTAAGTCTATATATATATATTTATATATATACAAGAAAATGTCAAATAGACCCATGCTTTCACTAAATAGACTCACTTTTGATAAAGAATATGGTAAACATGATGAATGTAGTTGGTTTTTATTGATTGCAAATCCAATAGTAGAGGAATGAATCTAGAGGTTATTTTTTTTTCTTGAGGATGGTTAAGACAGGTGGGTCAATTCAATAAAAACTTGGGATCGATTAAACATTCCCACATATATATACATAGATATATAAATCATCAAATGCATAGATATTCATAGCCTTTACTTCAGATGTTCAATAAAAATAGTTTTCTACCATTTTATTGACCAATGACAATTCTATTACCCATGCCAAAGATATTTGATATCTTAATTTGCACAGAAAAAGTCTTTCCAAAAGAATATTAATAATACCTTAAAGATAGTAGGTTCCAGATGGCCAAGTAAACTGTTTATTGTGTATAGATTAAGGTGCATTAATATGTTTAAATAGAAGAAAAAAGTGCACACTTTCTGTGACAAATATGACCTAATTTGGCAGAAAATATTGGTGGTCAATGCAGGGAAGAAGGTTAGTTAGGAAGTGGGTCAATGCCACACAAGATGTCCATCAAATAAAAAAAGTAAACAGACTTTTCATATTAAAATAATCATGAGAGTCAATATTTGTGAAGCAAGAGCAATAATCTATATACGATAACTGATGATTTTTTTGAAGGAATGATATATATAACTGATAGTGTACATGTCTCGAACTTGTATAAGACCGGGGAGGTATCAGAAAGACTTCCTTCAGTGAGTACTCATCAGATGAGTACCGTTTAGAAATGACCCCTTCTGCACGGGTGTTGATCGCCACGTGCTAGGCTGGAAATGGTACATTTATTCATGTATTGTTTATGTTAGTTATACTCACACTGCTCCTAAAAGTATTTTGTTATGATACTGAAGTAATTAGAAGATTAAGCTATCTTAAAGATATTTAGCATTTTGAGAAATACCCTAGCTGAGGTAGAAGGCACATTCGGAGTGAACAGAATGTTTTAGCTCTCGTTTTTCAAAGAGTAATAAACATGGTCACATCGCAGTGACGATGAAAGTTTTATTAATCCACCAAATCGCTAGAAAGTACAATAGAGATGAATCTCATACTTAAAAGTAGAGGCATTCATGATTCAACTGTCGTACCAAAAGTGAGCATACACGTGTAGACAATATAAAACAGTGTCTAGTATCTTGGTAGAATCTACATATTAAAAAATGTTCGCCAACCAAAAGGGTGACAAAAATTGTTAAGAGTTCTTGAGTAGTCTGCTTGAAGGAATGAGACCCACTTCTTACTCAAGCTCCAACTTATGGTACAGGATACATGTGAAATATGGTTCCTGGCAAAACCAAACAAGAAAAACTTCGACATACAAGTACATAACAGAGATCATATAACACATACAGACGCGGCCATAGTCAAGTGTCGCTGAACTGAGTCGAGACGAAAAGGCCAACCCTCCTAACCTTCCACACCGACCCCTTCTCCAGGCACAATAGAATCCATAGAGCTGGTCTTGAAACTGTCCTTCACACTGGCTTTGTGGTTGCCATTCTCGATGCCATTGCAAGCTCCTACGTTCACAACATCTCCCTGGTGACATCCGTCAAAAGCCGCCTTCAAGCATTCTGCTTTCACTTCGTCAAACCGCTCTTGTGGAAGGGAGACCTCAGCCAGTAACTTCCAGGCATAGTCCTCGGTGGCCATGTCGTAATCCTTCCTCCTCTTGAGCACAATGTGTCCGCTTATCTCCCACACGGCAGGGTTGACTTGGGTGTCGAGAATCTCTTGGTCAACTTCACCTCGGGCTTGTCGCTCAGCAAAGCACTGAGGGAGGAGAAACACCCTGGAGCCCCGATCGGCGATGAGAACATTGTAAGGGATGTTGTTATCTTGAAGATAGATGCAGGCGTTAGCGACAGCTTCAGAGAGATCTTCCATGCTGTTGCAGATCTCGAAGACGAGGCCCCTGACAGGGAACTCGGTAAGCTCGTACACTTTGACACCACCTTTCTTTCTGCCGTAGGGGATTCGCACAGTAGGTGCTCTTTCAATCGGAAAGGGAGCTGCCAGATAGTAGGCCTGCAAGTCCAAAACCCATGCAAAGTAATTAGCTGTGTTGACTTCAATTCGGAGTACACCATCCGAAAAATGGCAATATTGCTGCGAATTTCTTCGGAATTGACCGTGATATAACTACTCTCAACGGCATTGACTTCTTTGAACGCAATTGCTACACGTAATTAGCTTGAGCGTCAGAGACAGCAGACTTAACCTGCTACATGGGCATGTACTCTACCTGGAAATGCAAGTGGTTGATTGTGGCAAATGCACCCAAGCTGTTGTAACCTAGGCGGAAATACGGATTGTTTGCCTCAGCAGCCATGTGCAAAGCCAGTAAGAATGAGTCCTGATCAATTCGTTGTGGTAAGCGGTCCAACACTCGAGGAACCAGCAGAACATGACCATACTCGATAGGGCTAACCTGTATATCTCCTTCAATGTTAATACTGAGGTATAACTTTTATACATCCAAATTAGACCCAGAAATCAGTTAATTGAGAAGCATAATTTTGAACTCACATAAAATAGTTTCAGAAAAAAATGTAAAAAAAAACTTTAAAAATAAAAGACCTGCAATACTTTAATGATTCTACAGTGTATCAGGATGTATTGTCGACCTAGATTGCTGAATAGAAGGATTAAAGCCACAGTACAGTTTTAAGTGAAACATAACAAAAACAATAAATGCTTGGGTAAGCTCACATTAATGGCAATCACGTTCGGACTGGCTAGCACTGGAGCCTTCTCATAATAATCACTGACTTCATCTTCACTAGGCCCAAACTGGAACAAGACCTCCTCTTGTCCTACTTTGGTGAAGTTGAACTTCTTCGGATCGAAAGCTTGAAGAACTTGGTCAACGCGAAACTCTGTGGGGCGTTTCTGTGAGTGTCTACCCTCATTCAACTGTGCAATAAAACCATACTCTCCAGGCAGCATCTGCGAGAACAGGGTACAATACTGAGTGTTGAATACAGAGTGTGGACTCAGAATAGGAGGTAAATTGTTTCACAAAGTTCACTGCAAGCAGGATTTAAGCACCAGTTATAAAGTACTCCATATTTGACTGTGTTCAACCTAAATCTCAGTAAATGCTCACAACACTCGGGTGCTCAACAACAACTCAAAGGGCACAATGTTATCGTCAGGTTCTACCTTTGTTTCACAGGCTGTTACGTCATAGCGGAAAAGCCCCCGGACCATGCGATCCTCCCACTGTGCCACAACAGAGAATTTAGGAAAAAAACCATGAATCAACAAATGAAACCAAACGGACGTCTCGAATGAGAGGATGGTACAGGGTAGAACAGTGAAACGAAGCTGGGCTAACCGTAGCAGGAGAGTAAAAAATTCTACAACACCACGTGCACACAAACCTGTGCAAGGAGCAACTCATCCAGAAAATAATTCTCTTGCTGAGAATCGTCAATTCCATAGCCATTCGGTTTTCCCACACCACCCGGTATACAGTGATCTCCATTGTTGGTGTGCACTCCCTTGTGAAGGCTTGAATTTTTTTTGACTCCGAAAGTGTAAAGCGGCAACTTAGCTCCTGTCCATTAGTTCAAAGTAAGGTCAGATACGCCCAGGTTTCGAGGAAGTAGACACATGGGCTTTTGTTACACATTCAAAGTTCTCTGAATGAGATTTACTCCACGTAAAGTGAGAAGGAACGACGTGCAAACTACTTCTGTTACTACTCTAGGAGCACCTCTGAAAAGTTCGGATTTATTGCAACAGTAATGCAAACACAGAAGTCGGCTAGGATGAACTGACCAGGAATGCAGCAGTTGCCGAGGCAATCCCGACCGCATCCAGGAGCTTGATCTAGTTGCTGGTTGATGGAAACCAGAGTTTCCACCCTCCTGATGGTCAACATTTTCGAAGGTTCTGTCCTCCTTTTCTCCTTCGCTTTCGGCAAAGAAGAATGGAGATCCTGGTGCGTTCCCTGAGAGAACTGCACACAGGGAAAAGGTGAAGTGCCAACCTCCTCCGGCTAGAGCAGAGAGGTCTGAGGGACGACCGCCTTCACTAGGGGTGGCCCCCCGGCCGCCGTGCAAAGAGGGAGAAGACGAGAAGAGTTGAGATTGTTGAATTCCTGCGAGGTAGAGGTTTTCACTCATACGGACACGGTGATCGATTTGCAAAGCCGTGATGTCCACTGGGACAAACCGGGCGTTTGTGAGGAAGTGACACTCTTCTTCCCGTAAGTGGCCAGCGTTGATATCCACGGACACCAAATAAGAAAAGAACAGTCACCTCAGACCAGTATGCTCCAAGATCGTCACTTGTCAAACGTTCTTCAAGAAGAAAAGCGATGAATAAAACCCGGATTTGGGTGCAAGAAATTTGCCACTACACACTCAAAACACAAGTCTACCAACTGAAGCCAAGTAATACGGATGACTGCAAGTTGCACAAACTCAAGTACATCAGCGCGGTCTAAATCGTACTGAAGGGATTGAAAGATGCCAAGACAACGGAAACCACAAAAGATCAAGGAATACGATTGAAGCCGGAAACCCCAGTGCTTCAAGCAAAACCACAGTAAGAGGACTACACGAGCTGAGCTGAAATCTTTATGGTGAAGCCTTTATCTTAAGCCTGGAAGGAAGCAAGCTGCCATAGCATAGAACACTCCGATGTGAAACTTCAACCACCGCACAAGACGATCTATGCAATGATGGAACTCGATAATGGCATAAACCGAAACTGGCTCAGTCTGTCAGCTCTAGTTACAGTAGCAATTGTGGGGGTTGAGCTTTATATGTGTTGCATGTGAAGTCTGTAGGCTACGAAAGCCTCTGTCGAAAGCTCCTATCATGCGAGATCGACATATCCACAACCACAGAAAATTCGTGGCCCAACGGAAATCATCGACGTAGGTATATTCCTTTGCATCTTGGCAGTTAACACAGTCATAACGCATATATTCCGAAAAGATGTGTACATGGTAATCTCAGGATCGGCTGATTGGGAGGCCCAAATTCACCTCTTCGGAAGAGGTCTAGAACGAAAACCATGCAGTTCGGCACCTTTCGCTGCAGTATACAATTTGGGGACACACGAGATACGACATTTGAGTAAAGCAATTATCGTTACATTCCATGAGATGACACAACCCCATAAAAAAGTAAAACATGTCTGCAAGGCGCCACCCTCGCACAGATTCCCGAACCACGACTTAATCCTGTGGTAACTCCAGCTTTCGCAGATGAACCATAACTTCAAATGTAGGTTAAGGGGTGTACGAAGGGCAACCGAAAAAGCGGGAGACGTTGAGCAAATGGATCCATCTACAGTAAATCGAACAATCGCAGCCAAACGATTTGTCTTAACATTATCAACGACAAAACGGAATCGTTCGGATTAGAAATTTTCTCGCGAAGATGCTTGAGGAGGCATGTTCTCTGCGCTTACCCCCTCGCCGCGTTGAATCCCTTCCGAAATCTCCGAACCACAGGAACCCAAAGAGAATATGGACTTTATTCCAAGGGAACCTACCTTCACATCATCATCCCAAGAGGTGAAGGGCTCGGTTCCTTCTTCACCTTGTCCAGCACTTCCTCGTGGCAGTAAACGACATGCACATTCAACTCTCGCTTCAGCACTCGGGGTTGGACCTTGCCCAGCGAATTGATACCCAATTACACCCACGAATTTCTTGCTCCTCCGGAGTTTACACCGGTCGCGGCCTCTTCCCCGTCTCCAGGGGGGATATTCAACAATCCCACCGAACACTTCGAGGCTGCACCAATGAATTCCAAAAAGTGAAAACGTGCTGCACAATTTTCACCCCAGCAAATGAGATTGGCCTTGGGCGGCGAGCATGAGAGGAAGACCTGGCTACACAGCGCGAACCAAGCCGCGCTTTGTTGCGTGCTCCAGCAATTGTACAGTGATCGGCGACGCGGAATGAAATACGGCGTCGATCTACGTTTCTTGCGTAGAAGCGTTCCGACACCAGTCGTTAGTTAGTGTCCTCACACGACTCTTTGCCGAACATGTGCAAATTCTCCTGCTGTTCTTCAAGCTCATGCATTTGGCTAATTAAAAACCACGAGTGGACGACCGATCGATCCACTCATCCATCGACCCATGTTGGAAGACACGCACTCCTCGTCCTCATCAACATCAACACGCTTTGCCAATTCGAAACACCCCTCCATTTCTCGCCAGTTTTTCGCCCCCATCTTGGTGCCTCGCATCAACGATGTCGCCCTTCCTCATCTGCATCCCATCGTCGCAACCCTCCAATCCTAATCCTAATCCTCTTCACATCCCACAAACCCATATCCTGATTCTTGTATCAACCCATGCACCAAACCCTAATTTTCGTTGTAACTCACAAATCGGGATCCAAAATTTAGCGTTAGCGAGGCCTATGTCAATTGTGATGGATTCAAACAAGCGAGCTTTGATATGGACTTGAGCATTTTGCTACAATATCTTAACTTTCCCAACAGAAGGATTCCACTCTATTGTGTACTCATTTTAGGTCATTTTGTTAGATGCATTCCCTTGTATTTGTTGTATGGTTTAGTTATTTTTGCACAATTTTTTCTACTTACATTATATTGTGTTATGCTTCTGAATTTGAATGTTTCTCATATTTTGTATTTTGTTTCATGATTAGAGCATGTGCATAGAATCTGTCTGTGATATACCAGTTTTCTTCTACATTTCCATTTGTTCTATTTACTTCTATTAGGAAACATTTTTCTTTTCTTTTCTTTTTCTTTCTAAATGTAATCATTTTGTAACACTTCAAAACTTGGATGGATACATTTAATAGGATTCAAACATGGCCTTTTTGGGTGATATTTCACCTATGATGAGATCTCAAAGTATTTAGGGATATTTCAAAATATCACTCGATACTTTGCCAAATCACCCACCTCGCCAAGTAGGTGATTTTGAAATCCAAATATTAAAAAAGAGGAGGGTGAAATATCAAAAACCGCGTCACTTGCCTTAACTCTCTTCCCTCTTTGACTCCATATTAGGTGGTAATAAAGTTTGAATCAAGGATAATATCAAGGAGTAATATCAAGGAGTAATTAAATTTGAAGATTAATATTTTTGGATTTGATAATTTGAATGATCATGGAAATATCAAGTGCTAAATCTTGATTAACCCCACCCTCCCTCCTCCTCCCCTATTAGAAATTTATTGCAATATAGACTTCAAAATTTAGAGTCTTAAGATTCTAAGCTTAGAACATTATAATTATGTGTTGTTTATATGTTTTTTGTTCACAGTTTCTACTGGGTGCACTCCAAAAGATATTACAAATGAAGACAATTTTACATATCTTTGAAATTACCAAAGAAACATAATATGGTTTTGAAGATTTCATCCATATTGAAAATTAACATTAATAAACTAAAAAGAATGAAGTATGTTGCTTCAAATATAACATCATCACTCACAAAGTCTTATTTTCATCAAAAATAAAATAAAATAAAATTACATGTGCATAAATGATATTGATATATCTTGGTAGGAAACCAAATTGAAAAATCATACAACAATATTAAGTAATTGTGTAAGTATATATATATATATATATATATATATATATATATATCAAAATAAGAATTCATTTCTTTTAAAAACATATCTACAAGAATTATATATATATATATATATATATATACCAACTCAAACTTGTGCCATATCAAGCATATAAATCTTCAAGAAATAGATATTTGCTCAAAATCAATATAATATTGAAAATGGAATGGCTATTGCCAAAGGTAAGAAAACTAAAAAATCTTGAAACAAAACTAAGAACTAGAAAGGCATTAATAAGAGTGAAGAAGGTTTCATTCTTGCCTCCACATATATTATTGATGAAGAGTTGTGTGGCAACATCCTGTAGGGCCTCCAACATGTGTCTAATTTGCAAGACATGTGTCTTCACTTGCAAGGAAATTTTCCTATATGCGTGCCACATCATTTGCTTGTATCACAAGTTATTCATACTTGCAACACATAATTAATTTTTTGGCTAAGTTTCTAACCTATTAATCAATTATAAACATGTATAAAGTCAAATATGTGTCTATGAAGCTTCTAAAAAGCTTTGCCACAAAATAATATCAAATCTACCTACATTTATCTTCTATCTAATATTTCTTATCTAAGTAAATATGTATGTCTATAACATGTTGTTGGATACATAATAATAATAATAATAATAATATTTACAGATAGTAAACTAAAGGTCTTTAAATTGGTTAATAATTTCTTTGATTTTAGCTTGATTATGGCCAACTAGTTATTCCTTTTCTTTTGATACTTTTATTTTTTTGGACACATACACACAAACACACACACACACACATATATATATATATATATACTTTAAAATTTTATCTTTTAATTGTTTTTGGTAGCTTCAATTTTTTGTAATTAAATTTTTCATAAATTAATATTTTTTATATTTACTATTATATATTAATCCTTAGATCTTTTTTATTCATTAGTTACTTTATAAGTTTATTTATTTCTTCATATTATGGATGGTATTGTTTTAACATATTCAAGTTGAGATTGGTATGATGTTGGATCATCAGAATGAGGGTTAATAAGTTAAATTCTATTTTTAGTATACTATTTTTAATATATATATATATATATATATATATATATATAACGTTTTCATTATTCGAGTGTAGATAATTCATCCAAAAATTATACTACCAAATATATATTTCAAAGTCATAGACAAATTCGGATTTCACTTTGATACATTGAGATTTGTGTGTTGTGTTAACTTGAGATATCACTTACTTTTCTTGTAAAGTGAAAGGAAAATATTTAGCCTCTTGCCAATATAAGTGATATAACCTTGGATCCCTTTTGAGGCTAACACCATTAGAACCACTCTCAGTATAGTCTCTAATTCTTGAACCTCTCAAGAAATCTACATATGCATTTACAACTCCAAAACAATTATCCAGAAGATGATACCCATTATTTTATCAAAGAGTTGCAACAACTATGTAAAAACCTTAAATGATGCCTAAATCCAAAAAATATATATGCCATTAAAGCTTTTTGCCTTAAGAGCCATGTGGAGGTTATTCAAAGTTGCACAAATGATTAGTTTTGATTGAATAACATACTTTCACACATGCTTTAGTTCACAACACCCTTGCTTTATCAAAGTTTTGATGCAACTGTAGAGTTGTTCCCATAACATTGGGACAAAATCATGAGAATTCATTTACCAGTAGAAAGTATCATGTAAAGTCACCAACTCCCTATTACACTTTCCAAATGTGCGCAAAAGTGTACCACTTCAGGAGCTTTACTCTTTATTTTGTAGTTCAAAATACAGAATAAATCACTTTTCTTCTCAATCTTCTCTCTCTCTCTCTCTCTCTCTCATAGAATAAGGGAAGTTACACATAAAACAACAAGAACCCACAATCTAAAGCCACCTAGTTGTAATATATAAATATACATGTGATGCTGAAGACAGAGTTGGACTGATTACAATTTGGAATACTTTGCTAATTTATTCCTTTATTTGACTAAACATCTCATAAAACAGCTCAAAACTTTTTCCCTCTCAAATGGAATCCACACAGTCCTTGTTAAAGACATGGCAGCTAGCCTGCATTACAAGTTGCAACTCAACAAGTACACTTGAAATCCTATTCAATAACAATTCACACATGAAATTGAACCATATCTTATACTCAAAAATTAATAATAATAAGAACTAACATATTTCTCCACTATGTAGCTGATTCTCCTTCCATGAAACCCTAAACCTAATCCAAAACAGTGAAACCGTTTTGTTTTGTTTTGTTTTGTTTTCTTTTTTTTGGATGTTTGTTGCGAGGGTCGCGTGGTCGTGGGAGTGTCACCGAAAAAGGTCTCTCGATGTGTGTAGATACCATTTCTACGGCCGCGCGGTGTGACGAGCGCTGGAGCAGTCATCGTACACTGCGACCCCTGCCGTGCGCTGATTGCAGAGTACCTTGCCAGGCAGAGTTCACACAAGCGCCGAGCCACGCAGACTTGGAAGTTTCTGGTGCAGGGGAGCAGGGTACGATAGAGAAGATGTGGTCTAGAGCCACTGCGGGAAAACGTGATCATCAGTGTGGTGGATTCGGGGATCTTGGCAGGCGACAATCAGGGGCTCACCCCCCCCCCCCTCGGCTAGATTTTCACCTTTCGCTCAAGCTTTTAGCCGAAGCGTTGCACCATTTGGATCAAACCTCTTTGGTATGCAAAACGGGCACGTGGATTTTTCTTTTCTCTTGCAAGGTAGACAAACTTTCTGTTCGGAAGCTAGCTCGCTGGCTCCAGCGGCACCCTGAAATTCTGCAAATCAACCAACACTAGGGACCGAAAATCCTCGGATGTCTGCCGCAACTTGTTACCGATTGATAGCGGAATTTTGCTATCCTCACGCAGGATCGTTTCGATAATATTCGCAAGCAACAGTCCCACAGATCCAAGCACATGGGAGACTGCCCCGATTGAAACAGATCATGTGATACAAGAGTTTTCGGTGTGTTTCCATGTGCCGCCAAACATCCAGCCAATGTGGTGGTCTAGCGTTAACAATGTTGCAGATAGAATTGAACAGTGTCTGGAAGACTGAGCCCTTGCCATGGTGAAGGATATGGCTTACATTGCTTGACTATTTTTTATATACAGTCTTTTGCTTTTCATAATTTTGAACCAGAAATAATATTCTTTTCCTGTGCAACGGAACTTATTTCTAACACCACTGGGAACTAGGTTTTTCTTTTCTTATCTTTTTTCTTGTGGCTTTTGCGTAGGCTAAAGTGAGTTTGCCAAGTAGCACATTTTGGAACGTATTGAATTTGCTTAGCTTCTGGGAGCAGATGGAGTCTGTAGTCAATGCTGACGTCTGAGCATGTTCTTAAGAAATATATGTTAAATTGGTTTTGTTTTATTTGAGATTGTGATGGAAAGTAGAGTTGGGGACGGTGATGAACGCATTTGCTTTTAGTGTTAGAATAAAAGCTGGGACAACTTCTATGGATTAGGAAGCTTAATCCATGTTGGAAAATCAACCTGCAGGAATTATGCTTCCATATTGCTGATTACAGGTGCTTCTTTCTGTCACTTACCACAAATACCCGATGTAAATCACTACAATTTGATTTTTTTTTTTTTTAACATAGGCTGCTTTGAATCCATGGAAGAGTGTTTCCACCCATGCCTTGCTGCGTGGTTGTGCAATATCCCTCAAAGTGTTGAGATCCACAATTGAATTCAATATTGCACTGGGTGCACCCCAAAGTCTACACTGTTCAGAAGCCCAGAGTCTCTGAGCTGTTATAGTGATTATTAATGGTGATTTGGCAGTTATGATGGAGGTATACTTTTGGTCTAGCAGCCCCCATCACACCCTGTGTATTGTATTTAAGCTCACATCTGGTGGGGCTTGTGCAAGTTTTGCAGTGCCCCTGTTATGGGTGCAGCATAAGGTCAGATCAATGTTGGTTAGGTTCTTTCGAAGTGGGCTTTACATACTCCAATTGTCATGTACTCAAGCTCATGCAGTAAAATTTAAATTTTGGGGTAGTTGAATGTCAAACATGTCACAAATGCATGACAACAAAAGGTGGGAGGAATTCCAGAGTGGAAATAGCCATGATGCCAAGCAACTTCAAACTGTTCACATGTGCTGGAAGCTTCAGGATGGATTCCACTCTAGAAATGCCTGGCTAGTTTTAGCAACCTCCGCATTGATTAAAGCAGGGGGAGGCATAAACAGACAAAAAACCCACCTCATCCCAAGTACCAATCTCAATTTGGATTTCAATGAATGGACATGAACTTTGTTAAGGTGCCTTACCCATTTCCAATAACTTATGCATTTCAGCATATCTGCAGTAATTGTATAATTTTTTTAAAAAAAATCTATGTGTAGGGAAATAGAAATCAAGTGGACATAAGTGTTTGCACATTGTTTTGCTCAAAAACAGATTTGCTATTCATGTTTTAGCTCAAGACTCTCTTTGAGACAAATCCAACATATAGCCAACCTAATTCCAACCATGGTTGGTTACAAAATCAAGAATGCTTGATTTCAACCAATTTTTATGACTTGGTATAAAATTATTAATTTCTTGTCCAATGGTGCCATAGAGAAGGCAAAATGAATTAAGTAATGTGAAACCACAAGGTGTGAGAATTTATCATTATTATCATGTCAAGTTGATCAGAAATACACCATCTTATAGGTTGAAAATGGAGAGGGAGGTGGTTGAGAATGGGTTGGCTACTTTTAGGAGTAAACCATGAGACCCTTGCTTTGAAATAAGTTCATGCATGGCATAGCAATGAGATTATGACTATGTTGTTGGGTGCATTAAACCTTTGTTGTAGTTTTCCATTTGGGCACTATTCTAGTCAATGAGAATCACTCATGGACTAGGTACAAGGGCAATGGGGAATTTGGTACCATAATACATTTGAATGAATATCCTAAGTCATCTCCATGTTTGTGTAATGTGTCTCTTCATGTTGAATCTTGGCCAAAGGGAAGACAAATAAGTTCCCCAAACTAGAGTAAAGCTTACAAGAAAACAGTTGAATAGCTAAGACCAAAGTGGCCAAAGAGTATAATAACCATACAATGCAGATAATCACATTGGACAAATGAAGTGAACCAAAATCTTCATGGCTAGTTAGAATCAAACATGGGCTGAGTTCATTGCAATATACTACTTATACTATGCAATTCTACATCAAATGGCACATGTTTTGTTATGGAAAACATTGGAACATTTGTGCAAAAAAAATTGCTATCTCCCTTGCCATGTTATTCCTAAAATATACAACAATAGGTGGAAGCAAAATCAATTGCTCCTAAACTTAACCCTAAGAATGAAATTAGAAGTTCCTAGTAATCACATATCAGCATGTGGCAGAGAATATGTACTCATGCCCTCTCCACACCTCCAGTTGCACCATGGAAATTGGCTTTGCCCAAAGCATCAAACCAAAGGATCACCCATTACTTCAGCGTTCTACACTATTGTTGAGTGAGGCCGACCAGAGAGAATGGTGGTCTAATATGGGGCCTTAGATTGAGATGATGTTGGGCAAGGTAGCTGTAGGGGGAACCTGTGGCTGAATTGACTCCTTTTTAACCTGGAAGTTTAGTCTTTCCATCCAGTTTGGAAGTTGTACTGCAGAGCTCATTTCAGAGTTAACTCACATGGCATGATCTCACAGTACAAAGTGGGGAGTACCCTGCTGATGAGACTTTTTAGATTCTTCCACTGTTTTTTAGCTTCAAATTCCATTTCAGGCAGAGAGTTCAAAGTGGTGGCACACACCCCCCCCCCCTGGTGGTTGGTTGGGGAATATGGGCAATTACATTTGAATATGTGAATAAGGATATTTTATTGAGACCCATTGGGTGTGGGCAAGATGCTCTACTGAGGGCTAACTCATAAATCTATGCAAAGGACTCGGGATGGCCCACCTGGCTTTTGCCAAATGTCCATGAGGGATGAGAGGGAAAGAGTGATGAAGATGTAAAATAACACTAGATGGATGATACATGCTTTTTCCTTTTGAAAATGAATAGTGAGAATGTGCATGTTTATGTGACTATTTTTAAATGCTGTGCTGGAAGTACTTCACCAGGAGTACTTCTCCACAGCAGAACTCTTGTTGAAGTACTTCACCAGAAGACCATTAGTGATGCTTGGCACTAATAACAGTAAAAATTAAAAAGAGGATGGTCGAGATTTTTGCCAGTTTTTATTTGGCCTATTTGGTACTGTTTAGTCATTGTTGGGTGTCACAGAGAAAGTTGCAAATCTGATTGGAAGATGTTACTTGTCAACCACACATCCCCAATTTTTGCTAATGTGCGTTTTAATGGCACAATTACTTTTTCCATTAAGATTTATGTTTTTTTTTTTTTTTTTTTTTTTTTGATATTTGTCTTGTACTATGAAATAAAACTCATCCAGTCACTCCCCTTTATGTAAGCATGTGGGGAAAAAATAAAGAAGATTGATAGAGAAAAGAATTAAAACAAGTTGTGTGGTATTCGCATTGGTGTGGTCTTATGACAGCAACCACAGTGTTTTTTTTTGTCACTAGTTTTGGCTCATTGTGTGGAAATAGGGGGCATAGCAATGGGGACAAGATGCTAAATGGGAACAAGTGTCGAATAGCAGTGGCAACAACGGATCTCTGATACCACTCCCAACACAACACAAGCATTGCGTGAGGGCTGGAAAAAGCCTACAAAAGTATATGAGTGTTGGTGGTATCAACCCCACTTTGCTAGATCCTGAAATCCACCTCAATCATCATCCATGTTCCCTGTCCATTACTGCAGCTTCCAGATGCTGCTGTATTTAAAATAAAGTAAAATCAAAATAAAAAATAAACACACATGTTTGTTTATATAGTTTCCAATTGGCCAGCCAAGCAAAAAAATTAAATATCCACAGTTGTTCAGCCGTTTGATCTTTTTTGCATTTTACTTCTTCACTTTGATGGCATTCCCCTATGCATGTAGTCTTCATTTTATTCAAGCATTCTCCATCAATAGTGAGTGAATTGTCAGTCTTTGTTGGTATTCATTCACTGTTTACAAATTGTTAATGATTACAAGAGTTTTTGGTGGAATAAAAACTTCTGCAGGGAAGTTTTGTTGATAAATACATTAAACTTTTTATTTTTACTTCTTCGATTCAGGTTTAAGGTTTATTTTTTCCACAAATGTATATAGAATGGTTGTGTGAGTATGCAAGAGGCAACTACAGATTGAAGGAAACCAATTTGAAGGCTACCATCAGTATGACATAGACATGATATTTTGCTTGTTTTGATTTTCATTCTCTTATATAATGTACAAATGGGTTCATTACAACTTGGGTTTTCACACAGTTATTGTTACTGTTGTCACAACAAACTGGATATGGAATAAGTTTGATGAAATGACATCAAATTCTATACTGATACTGGGTTTATCCAGCTCACAAGTATGGTATCACTAAAATAGCTCCAAATCAACAAACATTCTTGTTGCACATGTCCAATGTTTTTTTTGACCAGACTGTTTGACTGCATTCCATTCTGTAAGATTCCCTTTGCTCATATCACTCCCAAACTATGTGAGCATTGTGGCAAGATATTTGGGGAAAAAAACTGAAGAAAAGTCATGGAGAGCTGTATTGTTGTGGGCTGAAGAATTTTAGTACAAAGGAGAATAACAAAGCTATTTGAATATGTGTATTTTTGTTTGTCAGAGAATCAGAACCTTTGTGAAGGATGTGGTATGGATACCGGTCCAAAACTTTTATGGTAAACTTCAACAGCTCCTTTTTTCCAAGTTATAGAAACTGACAAGGATGTGGTTCTTTTTGACAGCCCACTACCAAAGATGTGACCTCCTCTATATCTCTCTGAACAGGTTGATTGATTATGGTGGAAGGACCCAAGTTTTGTTTTTTTTGACATGTACACTGTAAACCTGTCACAATGACTTTGAAATAGAAAGATAACACTAATCTTGTCCTACTACTGCTTTCCAAAGAATGGAGTGAGCATAAAAAGATTAAACCAACATGAAAACAAAAAATAAAAATAAAGTGTACAATTATTTATATTGTAAATTCACATTTATTGTGTGTACTATCAAATTGTTGAATAGAACTCTAGAGTTCTATTTCTTTTATCTACAATATGCTTTGTTGTTTAGATCTGGTCTCCTCAACAAGGAAATGTAGCTCCATGCTTGTATTTTTCCTTGCTTGAGGGCATATTCAATACTAATGCGTTATTTTTTTTTATCTTATTTGAGATCAATAGAAGCAACAATAATCAACTAAAATAGTATTGGAATTCAGTCTTTTATCTAATAACTGCAGCATCTTTGTACCAAATCAACCACAACAACATGGTCTCTTTTTGTGCTCCTATCTTATATCAAATGTCATTTTAATAATAAGTACATATTGTTTATGAAAATATATTTTTCTTGTATTGAAGCCAATTCATGTGTACTTTATTTTTTTCTTCAAATAATACTAACAACCCAAAATATCCAAGTCAATCTGTACATAGTTTAATTACAGAAAAGTAAATTACAGTAATTAATTTACTTTTAACTTATTTTTAAAATTTTAACATTGTTTTATTTTGTTGCAAAACTTGTGATTATACACTTTCATAGAATATTTCTATCTGATTTTTAATGGCATAAGGACTACTTGGTTTTACTCAATAAATTACAGATGATAAAGATATTTAAATATTATAATACATTGTGTACAATGTAATAAATTGAAGATTTTATTTTTTTTTAGAAGAAGAATATCATCACATAGAATGTTAATCTAACTTCCATAATATAAAGATACTAAACAATCCCAAAGATAAATGTCTTTTTTAAGCCAAAATCTATGGCTCATTCTTTTAAAGTCACAAATCTACCTTTATAAATTTAAAAATATATGTACTTTACTTTGAAAAGACCATTCATATTCAGTTTTACAATCTTAGAAGCTTAAATATGTACGTAAACTATGAAAAGCTTAAGACCCCACCACATAGACTTTTTCCAATGCAATATTGATTGAATATTTAGATAGTAGCTGCTTGTATTGCATGCAAATCACATTGATCTTCTCTTTAGTCCATTGAAAGAATACCTTCAAGCATTCTATTTACTTAATTATTAATAAAAAAATTATTTTACTTATCAATAAAAATAACTCATACAACAAAAAATATAGAATTAATTCATTGTTTGTGTTATTCTTAGAATCACACTGTCATAATACGTGAAGTCTTGCTTAAGAATGCTCTGGGCACCTGGCTGTGGAAGGTAGAATAGAAATTTCTACAACAAAAACTCTAATTCTAATAAAACACTAATAATGCTAAACAAGCTTTAATCAAATTTAAAGAAACCTCAAAGGAATTACAAAGAAACAATAAGAAATCTTAAAAAATACTAGAATGATTACAAATATATCTCAAATACATCTCAATTCAATCTTAATTTAATCCTAGTTGAAATCCTATTGGACTTCATTCAAACTTTAGGCCAAAAACTAACTAAATCTTAAATTCTAAACAAATTCAAATAAAACCCTAAACCCTAAATCAAATCCTGACTAAATCCTAAACTCTATATCAACTCTTAATCAAATCCTAATCTTAAATCAAATCCTAATCAAATCTTAAATCTTAAACCAAACTCTAAATCCTAAACTAAATCTTAACCAAATCTTAATCCTAAATCAAACCTTAACCAAATCCTAAACCAAACCCTAAACCACACTCTAAATCAAACCCTAGTATTTCTTACAATAGATTTAAACCTCGATTAGTAATGAATGAACTGTTGATCTTAACTCAAAATTTGCACACTTCTTAACAATTAAGTTGAAAACAAGCACAAATTTTTTGAAAAGGATCGAAATTACCAAATAGATGATAGCCTCAAAAACGTGCTTGGATATTGGCTGGCTTCCTTCTCTGACCTTGATGCCAATCTCCTAGAGCCAATATCTCTTCTTTTCACTATTCTACTGATCTCAAAATTCTCATATACATAGGAAAATAAGTCTAATATTCTTACACACAAATTTCTTTCTAATCCAACTAGTCAATTGCAAGAAATCTTAAAAAACCCTCACTAGACCTAAAATTCTACTTTCTGAGACCTTGACCCCTTTAAACCTCAATTTTCCTCAATTAATCCATTAGATCAAGTTAAAATTTACAAAAAATATTAAGCACAACTATAACCATTAATCCACAAAATTTTACTTATAGATCTATTATAAAACTCTTGAAATCACCCAAAACATCAACCCTATTTTATTTCACAAAACTCAAGTCATCCAAAAAAAAACTTGACTTTCTCAAGCTCTTACAAAGTCATTACAAATCCAAATCACCCAAATCTAATGCTAATAGAAACCTTATCTAGTTTGCTATCAAACCCTAGTCTTTGATCTACAAATAAACCTCGGAGTCGTCGTTGAGACTTAGTTTTGTGCCTTATGGTCTAATTTCGACCCTGGTTCATAACCAACCTTCTTTTGATATCAATATCTAGTTTTTCTTAAGTAAATTTTTCTAGAATTTAATCTTAACTTCCTTCTAAAGAT